CACGTGCACACCTTATGGACCCATGTCAAATATGGTTAAACATGTCAATTGGGAGTCATGGAAAAGAAGTTTGGATTATGCACGACCTCATGGAAAATTTTGCGGACGTGTTGCATTACTTGTTGATAAGATGGGTTTATTCTTTATAACAGAACAACCACATCCATCAAAACTTTGGGAAGAATCCGAATGGCAAGAAGTATTAAAATTGCCTACTACTGTCAGCATCGTGATTCACCAATGTATGACAGGCCAAAAGGGCCCTGATGGAGGACCAGCGAAGAAACCCACAAGATTCATCGCTAACCATAGGACTCTCTTAGAACCATTGACCAAGTATGTTTGTGATGGAAGTCATGAGCATGAATTACTCGAAGGAGGGAAAGCTAGCCATTGTAAACTGTGGACATGGAAACTAGCTACATCTATAGTAGACGGAATAACCAACCTTCGAGAACTGGTCAACTCCAGAGAGTACGCCTATCCAACTATCGGCACGAGCACTGATGCATCCGAGCCAAGCAGTGAACCCGCTGATGATCCAGATAAGAGACCAGCAGTTTGCCCAGGATGTAAAGGACATCTAAATAGGAATGACCCAAGGCACACTCGTGACCCTGATACTTGTAGATATCCTTTAGATGCCCCCGTAATATGGACATGTCCTGGATGTAAGAAAATGAAACCTGCTGGTGACAGTTCACATACTTATGCCCAAGGTGAGTGCAAACACATGACCATAGCTCACCGTAAGGGCATTCATCGAAAAGGCCATCATCCCAGAGAACCAGCCAAGCGGGCTGATGAACTTCCGGTTCAAGACTCTCAGGCCCAACTGCCTGATGGAACCGATTTGGGAGCCGGTGAAGGAGCTGCTAGTAGTTCAGCCGTAGGGGCAGCACCTCCAGTAGAAGATAGGATTGTCCCCTACAATCCAACGGCGAACCCGCCGAGAGCAGACTCCGAGGCCCTTATCGAAAGTTCCGGGATGCGGCCGCAGGCAGTGAACGTCCATCTGACTGGTCTAGATTTGATGTCACTCATAGTCTAAAAGACTTGAAGTAGTCATGAACCAACAATTATTCGAACACTCAGGAAGCTGCATTTAAGATGGTGGCATGCAGGACCCACCAACATGACTAGTGTTTTAAGAAATGCAGGCATACCTGAAGAAGTCATAAGCTACATTCCTGACATCATTTCAACCTGCCGTGAATGCCGCAAGTGGGCACCAAAAGCCAAAGATACTCAACCCTCTGTTTCTTTGGCCATGAACTTTAACGAAGTAGTAGAAACCGATTTGATGTTCTATCGAGAATTTGTTGTACATCACTTTATTTGCAGAGCGACAAGATGGCATGTTGCTGTGGAAACTCCTAACAAAACAGAAGACCAATTAATCACGAACTTCCACACAGCATGGGTATCCATCTTTGGCCCACCTCAACAGCTTGTCACCGACAGTGAAGCTGGTTTGACTTCATCCAGCGCTGAAGCAAGATTGAAGCGTATGGGTGTAGTCTTAAAGGTAAGAGGCAAGGACCAACACGCTCGGTACATCGAGAGGAGAGGAGCGATCTTAAGACATGCAATGCATGTGATGGAATCCCAAGCCATAAGAGAAGGTATTGACATCAACTTCCCATCATTACTTGCCAATAGCGTCTTTATGGGTAACGCACTAACACATGTAGGAGGAGTTACACCCTACCAGGTAGTGATGGGAAGACAGCCAGCTTGCCTTCCGCCAATCACTGACAACGCCGGCTTGGAAGAGAGAGTTGATGCTCGCATCCGCGAACTTGCATTGCAGTCTATGGTTTCAGCCACGAGTGCATCTCGTATCAAAAGAGCTTTGGGGTCCAAAACTGCCTTGTCGGGAGAAAACCGTTTTGCAAAAGGAGACTTGGTAGAGTTATACCGAACGCCCCCGAGCAAAGACATGAGTGGCTGGACCGGTCCATATGAAGTCGTAGAGTGTGTAGCCGCAGATGGCATTGTAGCTCTTAAAATAAATGGACAGACCAGACCATATCGCCTCCAAGATGTACGCCCAGCACAATACTATGCAACAGTTTCTCTTTATGGACACACCAATGCGGATATCTGTTTGAATGCCATGGAATACATCCATCAATTTTTGAATGAACTCCCTGATGGCCGTGTTGAAGTTTTTGGGTATGTAAATGACAGACTGACAAGAACCACCAAGCGATGGCCCAAAATTTCAAAAGCACTAGAGTTCATCATAACAAATTCCCTCCAGATGGATGATATCTGCACTGTAAGAATTGGACATAAAATCAAACAGCTGCAAGATCTGGACGACAGATACCGCAATGTGATTTTCAATTGGAACATGAACAACCCAGATGCAATGCTCATACATGTTGCTGATCATCCGAGACAAAACATCAACAAAATCTTTGGTCCACAGGAGTCCTTCGTCGCAACAATGCAGTGTTTTATGCTAGACAGAGATGTCGGAATGACACTTGATGATTTTGAGGAGAAAGTGCTGGACCGTCCGTCGGCTATGGCGCATCTCGATCGAGAGATCGAGGTGGGTCGTAGTGATGGGCGGCTCAGTACGATCGCCGAGGAATCACAAGTTAGCATTGACTCTCCAGAGGTTGAAGCATTGTACTTGCAACACTTCGAAGGTGCTCCCAAAGAAATCCAAAGTGATCTCAAGGAGCTGTGCTGGGTAGTTCTCAACGAACCAGTAAATGAAGTATCAGATGTGGAGATTAAAGATGATTGGTGTTATTTTACAAGTCCAGACAACCATAATGATTGGGATTCAATACCACCAACAGTTAGTCCAGATTTCGATGAGTATGATCACACTTTTGAGTTTGATGAAAATGATGAACCATTCCTGAAAGTGTTGATCTCAGAGAACATCACTGAATGCTTCCAAGACAGTCGCGATGTGTCTAAACCCAATTTAATGAAAGTATTCCTTAATGCAGAAGCCAAGAAAGAAGTCATCGAGAGAGATACTGATTTGCTCACAACTAAGGAATTAATAGACCATCGCAAAGAAGTTGATGAAGCAACAGTTAAGGAGTATGAAACCTGGCATAAATATGGTTGTTTTGAACGAATCCCCAAAAAGAAGTGTAAAGTTCTGATCGACGCCAAGCTAGTTTCTAAGCGGAAGTATGTAGACGAGAAGCGCATCATCAGGATGCGGTTGGCCTTGCGAGGGTTCAAGGAACCGCAAACCGAAGATGAGGTGAACTTCTCGGCCACTGCGCAAAGAACATCCCAAAAGATTCTAGCCAGTGAAGCAGCCTGCCACAAAGATTGGAGTTTTGTCGCTGTGGACATAAGTAAAGCATTTCTTCAAGGGCTTACCTTTTCCGAGATGAATAAGTTGACTGGAGAGCCCGAGAAACACATAAGCTTTACCGTCCCGGCAGGAACAGCCAAACACCTCAGACGGATCCCAGGATATGAGGATTTTGATGAGCGAACGGAAGCTCTCAAATGCTTGAAGCCTGGCACTGGCTGTAGAGACGCTCCCAGAGCATTCAACTTGAGGCTAATCAACATCCTCAAGGAATTAGGGTTCCGAGCATCTTTGTATGACCCCCAATTGTTAATGTTACATAAGAAAGAAACCCTAGTCTTAGCCATAACCGTTCATGTAGATGATATTAAAATGGCAGGTATGAAATCAGAAATAGATTCTTTGGTTAAAACCCTGGAAAGGCACTTTGGGAAATTGACTTATCAAGAAAGTGAATTTACAAACTGTGGTATATGTCATAAAAGACTCCCAGATGGAACCATCACTCTTGATCAGACAGAATATCTTAGTGCATTAAAACCTATAAACCCAAAACACTACGCCAATCTCCAGAAGGACGCACCATGCCCCGAGCACCTCAGAGCGCTGTATTGGAGCTTGTTAGGAGCCGTTGCCTATTCCGCCCTAACACAGGCGTGGGTCTTAGTCTACATAATTTCCCTCCAACGTGTAACTCAGAACCCCACTGTTACACATGTCAAAAGACTGAATGCACTCACCCGAGAGCTTCAACGTCGTCCCCAGAAATTAGAGTATAGCTCAATGACTTGTAGCAGGGTTGTTGAGCTATATTCTGATTCAGCATTCTCCAGAGAAAATGACAAGGGATACGCTTTGAGAGGTGCAATATACCTTCGAATGGGCACTGATGTGAGAGGAGTAAAGAGATGCCATTTGATTGAGGCCGTTTCTCAATCTCATAAGCTCGTGGTGCGCAGCACATTCGCCGCTGAGCTGTTGGCACTCACAGCATCCGTTGATCAAAGTTTTATAATCATAACTACCCTTCATGAAATATGTTTCGGACCTCTTAGCCCCCAATCCAGTATAAATTTAAGAGAAAATGGTGGTTACCTTATCGAACTCTATGTCTGGATAGACGCCAGGTCCGTTTTCAGTGCGGTGGAAAATGAAAATTTCAAATACCCAACGGAAAAGTCACTACTCTCTCATATCTCGTGGATTAAACAGTTGACCACCTCGAAGATCATCAACATTTTAGGCTGGGTCGACACACGCGACATGATAGCCGATGGAATGACCAAAGGTTCCATCGATCGGTCGCAGTTAATTAGTGCTATGAAGGGGTTTGTACGAAGACTACACCCCGCCGAATTCATGAAGACCAGAGGGACACGTCCTCTGGCAAGCACAGATACTGACGTTTGAGCTCGAGCCAGTTACATCATCTTACCAACTTACAGGAGAACACCCGACTTGAAAGGTACATGATCTATCATACCTCAGGCACATTGTTGTCCATGTAACTGTTCTGGCTCTAGAGCTCGACCTAGGTAAACACAAGACTTCGTCACAAGCGGACAGAGGAAAACAGACATTTGCGGAAACAGTACTTCTTTGTCACTTTAGTTCCTCTATTTTTCGAGTAACCATCTATAAATGGGCCATCTATACCATGGCTATGTTAAAGAACCAGAGGGTAGTTAAAATGGCCCACCAGATCCTTTGCACTGGACGAGCTGGCCAAAGCGCGGCGCGGACATCCTGTCCCGGCCCTCACGGAAGTGCCAGAGGCCATTGATGCCGGTTGAACTACTCAACAATTGGGATTTCACCATGAAAACTCTGGAAATGTACGCATTTCAATTTGGTTTAACATGTTTAACCCCATGAAAACAATGAGGATGATATAACATGATACAACATGATATAACATGATCTAACAGTATCGTCACAGGAAGTGCGGATGGTATGAAATGATTGGTGGTTCAAAAGGGGGAGGAATCCCTCTATGAAAATCAACGGAGATCTCCCACCTTCCATGCGCCAGGATCTGCTTCGACCACCTTGGATCGAAGTGCCCACGCGCGCAGATGCCGCTTTCAGGCGACGGGGCAAGGGCCGCAGGATTTTTACATCTTTGTCAAACAATGGATGCTTTAAGAAAGAACATTTTTCGATTTTTTTCCCCGACGATTTGACTTGACCCCAACATCGTCAACCGTTCTTGTTTTGAGATTGAGAACAAAGACCAAGCCACTATGTCTCAGGAGGCTTCTGCGCAAGAAGTCATGATACTTCATTACCCCAAGACCCAGCTCAGCTGCAAGGAAACAGCATGATGAGTTGGAGGCAACCGCAGTTCTTGGTCTGGCAGAAGATGGGAATTGCTGGCCACTCTTCCAAAGTTTTCTTTTTAGAAACCCCAGACTGGTGAGTTTTTTCAGAAAACCTCCAAAACAAAAAAAACTACCTGGGGGTATCAAAAAACGTCTGGACCAGTACAGTAGCCGGACATGTGCCAAGTGTTCATGATTTTGTGGACATTTGGACATCCTGGTGAGGTGCGGTTAGGTTTCCCTGGTTTCCCCAAATTTGCCAACAAAAATGGACCCCCAAGGACAAATTTCCCAGGCTTGTTTCGGCTTGGCGCTGCCCTCTTCTGAGATTTGGACATTTTCCGCCAGGTTCTTTGCACCGCGGACTGTCATCCAGCCAGTTCCTGAGAGTCCAAATTGGACAGTGGAGTTGTTGCAAAGTCGATAAACCGAGGGTTTCGATTTTTTGGTGAAGGCTATTGGTCTGGCACTTGTTCGGTCAGCCCATCAAATGCAGCCTGTATCATTCAGTTCAGCAAGTGTTGACCCCCTTGGATGTTGAAGTGCACGCTGCAAAGCCTGCGCAAAAGATCTTGCTAGTAGTTGGTAGTCTTTCTCTCCTCTTCACAACGATTTGGTACGTAGGAAAAGCTCTTTGCGCTTGCTCAGATGATCAGATTCAGGAAATGGATGAAGCTGGACTTTGCTGGCATTGCTGGCACAAAGATGAATGCAATGGTCGGCCAACCGAAATAAAGGCCAACCTGTTCAAAATTTTAACATCAGATCTGTATCAAGGATCATCAAGGGCAATCAAGGGTTCCAAAGCGATTTTTGCGATGGTTTTGTCTGATAATAGGCTACCCGTAAATTTGTTGCTTCGTATTTCCCATTCACATTTCTATTTGAAGGGCATGTCCCATTTGACACACCCAAAAGTGTTTGAAACGTGACACAGGAGTTGTTGGAGTTGTCCCTTCGCTTGAGCAAGTCAGCCTCCATGAGCCATCGAGCTCGAATCGCTGAGACTTGGTTTAAGCTACGTGGCTAGTGAGGTCCAGTTTCGTCAGTTCTCACTCTAGTCACTTACTATACTGACTATATCATTTGGCTTCACTAGCTATAAATGTGGCTAGTATACCACTAGTATACCACTGACTATACTATACTATATATATATATATACATACATATACTTATGTGGCTAGTAAATGGTTCTTTTTTTGATCCGGATGATCCCAGGCTAATGGCTCCGAGGTTCCCGAAGTTCCCCACAAGATCCCCATGACTCACCACAGACCTTTCCCCAAAGAAATCAGATCTTTTGGGCAAAAAACAACCGCCAGAAGCCTGAAGACCCTAGGGAATTCCCTAGGGTAAACTCACATAGATGTGAAAAAACCCATGGTTTCCAGTTCGGAACATGATCTTTTATGGTGCAACTCCACAAGGGTTCGTTTAGGGGATGCCCGAGGAAGAATGCTGGCCCTACATCCAGCGCTTGACCGAAGAGGTGGAGGCTTTGGCTCCTCGAAAGCTGCTGGTGCTTGGCGGCCTAGGAGCTGCTTGGATGCGGCAAACATGGGAGGGCCAGCAATTTTTTTCCGCAAAAACATATGGGAAGATGGAATTTGGGAAGAAACTATGGGTTTTGTCCCTGCTAATGGGGCGTGCCCCTAAAATCCATTGGTGAATCATGTTCACGCTAAGAATTACAATCTCATTGGGCTATAGCATGTTATAGCCCATTTTCCATAGCCCACCCATCAAGTCAGAAATCCTGGGCGAGTTTTGACGTGTAACACGAGGTGTCAGCCGTGCGGGCTGCAAAGGCTGGTGGAGATGTGGTGTTGTTACTTCCAGATGCCAACGAAACCATGCAGGAGGTCCTGCAACAAGTCATGCGCCAGGGAGCCAAGTGTTCTGGGCCGATTTCATCTGCATCTTTAGTTAATTTAGTTTCCCTCAGATGTCAGGAAAGGAATTGGAAAGGATATCAACATGATTCAACATGATTCAACATGAATCAACCTTCAGCAGGTCCTGTTTGGTCCGTGGCTGGTCATCTCAGGCGACAATGGCGTCTCTGAGCAGGTCCGGGTTGTGAGCGCAGTGACTTCCCTCGACCTGGAAAGCTTTGATGCCTGTGCCTTGGAAGGCGTGGAAACATGGCAGTCCGGGCAGTTTCAATGGGAAGATATGGGAAGATGATAAATAAACCATCCACTTTTTTGGGTATCCCAATTTTCAGAAAAACCCAGGTGCCCCTCATGGTCAAGCTATGTCAAGCTAATCCGCTTGGTCAACAAAGATGTCTCAATCTCGAAGGTCTAGGCTCTGTTGAGATCACAATGCCGCTTAAAGATGGACACCCAAAAGGGGAAAGGAATTCAGATTTGGACCATTCCGAGCTCGCCATGTTTTCTGTGGCGGACTCCATTTCCGTGTGCCAAAATTTGATTCACACAGGGCTTGCCTAAACTTTTGGAGCAAAGCCACCATCAATGTCTATGCGGGGTTTACAGGACGGTATTTTCACCCTTGAAAGCCACAATCCCTCGCGCCTGTCAGCGAAAATTGCCTTTTGAAAGGTTGAAACAAATTGTTAAACATCATAATGTTTTTTTTAAAATCGCGTTTGACCACAGTTTTGGAACCCTCTGTCGGTCAACTTCACTTTTTACCCTCACATGTTTACTTGCTTTTGCAGTTGCCTGGCAGTCGCTCGCACTGCCGCGCGTAGGCCATCAAATCTTTGTTGATCTTTCCTTTCTTTCTAGTATGAATGCTCGGTGGAATCTTATCTTTGACTTTCTTCCATGTGCAATCGATTCCACCTGTGTGCACCCACAAGGCTTGCTTTGGGCCTCGTAGCAAGTGCAAGAGAAGATTTTGTCAACGTAGCCTCAATATAGTCAGCAAGTGCAAGAGAAGATATTGTTAACGTAGCATCAATATAGTCAGCAAGTGCAAGAGACGATCTTGTTAATCTAGCATCAAGGTAGTGTGCATGTGAACATGAACATTAATAGCGCACCCCTCTCCCCCACCCTACCCTACCCCACCAAAATCAAAGAGAAATATTGGCCCCGCCAGCATAAATGTGACATTTTCGGCATATTGGAATACCATGGCTTGGGGGGGCAGGTCACAGCCAAATGCTTGCAGGTTTGGAGCCCGATGGAATCTTTGGCAGCGGCGTTGTGGAGATCTGGCAGAAGCTACAGCCGAGGATGAGAGCCAAGGCAGCCAAGCGGGAAGGGATGGGGTCACCTGTTTGAAGATATGGCTTTAAAGAATTTAAAGGATTTTCACGGTTTATCAGGCTTCATCATCTTTTTTCTCATTGAGATGACATTCCTCCATTTTCAGACCTGTATTTGAGATATCGGATTGGATCCGACTTGGGCCTTGAAGATGTGAAAAGAATGGCTAGAAATGCATGATTCTGGGGCTAGGGCTTCCATTGGGCTGCAGAGATTCAGCAAAAGATATTGAGTTGCTTGATGGTTTCTGAAGCGTCAAAGCGATCTTAGCTGGGCTGGGGAACCTTAGATGGGTAGTTCAGCATTGTATACAATCTTTTGCCATAAATAGGCTGATCATTAGCTAACCGGCCAAACACGGCACATTTTTTTTGCAGGGTATCGACGATTGGCCATGTAATGTTTGGTTAATAATCATCCATGGTTTATCAGGGGTGATGTAACATATTAAAATCACAGAACTGGGGTGGAGTTCCTAAATATGACTCAACAACCCGATTGATAATAAGGTTATATTGGCATTGGAGCGGCCCATCTAAGATTGGCATACTTTCTTTATCAGCAGCTTTAGGACATCTTCATATTCCCATCATATTCCCATTTTTTTGTAGAACTTCGAAAGAATCTTCCTCCATCTTCGCAGAAAATCTAGGGGACCGGATCCCCATGTCTCAGACGTCTCGGTGGCACCATGGCCGCCATGGACCGCCAGGTCTTTCCGCAGAGTCTGCAGATCTCCGTGGCCTTGGCAAAGGCTCGCCTGACAGAGGCGGCCGGTGTCAAGGTGGAGCTGGCAGCCTGGCAGCTGTGCCGAATCCGATTTCTGGTAGAAGAAAGAGGATATCAATCTGGTGTAAACTACTGTAAACATATAAACATATAAACATATATATATAATTATATATATATTATATTATATGTATAATTATGTGTATATATATTATGTATATATATATATATAGATTATGTATATATATAATATACTGATGGATGATGGGGTGTATACCGTATACCCAAAAAAACAACCATTTCTATGGGGAAAACAATGGTAAACTATCAGATTTTGGGCTAGTTTTCAGACAAACCCAGATGGAACATGGGATGTAAGCCACATTACTGGGTATCTTAAAGTTAATTGCCAGGCAAAAGAACACATTGGTAATGTGGTGACCCCCAACATAGATGGTAAATGGATGTTCATGGTCCAAAATAACATCATATCAAAGGTTTCAGCATGTTTTATATAACTATCCCCGGAAGAGATTACAAATGCGCCAATCAACAAGACTGCTTGAACATTTTGTAGCCATTTTGGTGAGCACAGTTTTTGTTGAGGACTTTTTAAATGGTGATCTTTTGGACACGCTTTTCACAACAATTAACCTCTCTATATTGATGCAGCTGTAGGATTGGGCCCTTGCTGTTTTTGCCCTTCCGCCAAGGATCTCTTTGCAGACTCGCACGGCGGGCTTGCACCAATACCTCAGGCGGTTCCACCTCTTGATACAGGCACTGCTTGCTACTTGTCGCTTTGATCCGTAAGCTGAAACTGCTGAAACATATCGCTTTCGTTCAGCACTTTTGAAACGCTGCTCCTATCACATTGCTTCTTCCACCCCATTCACCGGCTGGGTTCAACCTTGGATCTGAAGGTACTCCCATCGTGCCCCAAACGGTCAGCACCAAGAGCAGATGTTTGGACCTCCGTTTGGACGAACCCTTTGAAGCAACATCAGGCGCTCACGGCCTTGCATAAAGTCCAGAAGCCTCGTTCTGTGGATGGCCACCTTTCAAAAGCCACTTGAGACAACGAAACAGCAGGCAACAGCCACTGCTTGCCTACTTGTACATTGGTTGGAAGACGATCCAAATGGACTCATTTTTTCCCATTTGTCCCAACTGCAAAACCACCAACCAGTGGCAGCCGTGGTTCCACAAGGAGAGCTGCAACTTTCCATCCTCGAGTCCAAGCCCGTCGACTCGCTGCTGCTCTGCTGGGAGGTGGCTTTTGAAAGCGGCGAAGGCGCGGTGATCTGGGAAGCTCCAGTGGCTGAAGATCTGTGGATACTGCAGACATGCTGTGGACATCCTAGGGTCAAGGTTGTGGTTGGTTTGGTACTCGTACCGGCAGCAAAGAAGCGTTTCCGCAGCGTTCCCACATGTAATCATGGAGAAAATTGTGGGGAATGGGGAACCAAGAAGTTGCTTTCAGGAGTCAAGATGCGTCCTGGTGCTGCTATTCCCAAAGGTAAGGTGAAATCCCTTCATCATTCAACTCCGGGTTTCCTAAAATAGGGGTACCCCACATCATCCAAGTTATGGATGACCATGACTTAGTATTGAAACAACCATGGTGACTCGGGATATATACCCCAATTTTAGGAAAGCTCCAAGTGAACATCATTTCAATTCGTTTCGATGTGAGGGCCTGGCTCTATATATCTAGACCCTGCAGGGCTCGTCTGCAGGTTGGAGCGGCGAGAGCCTACAAGCATTGCCTGCAAGGTATGGGGCTCAGTTGGGGAAACGAAGACATCGATGAAGCCGCAAATGGAGGAAGTCAGGTAGTGATAGAATAGAAAAGAACCGGATATGATAAGAACAGAAAAAACACACAACATATTAGAACAAAACAAATCAAGAGAAATTTTGATGTTTTTCCCCCAGCCTAAAATAAGCTGTCTGAGGTTAGAGATCCTTCCAGCTGGCCACTGTGTGGACCTGCGATGGCACTGCAATTTGCAACGCGTGTGGTTCGAGGTGGAGTCAGCGTGGTCATGGTCATTGTGGAAAGCCGTCGAGATGCTGCGTTGGTTTGCTGGTTGAAGCAACGGCTCTAAAAAGTTGGGAACGGACCCCGTGGCTTTTCCTGCTAGACATAAACAAAATTAGACAAAATTGACCGCCATATTCGGGGTGATTTTTTTGTGCATCCCATCTTGGAGGTGCCACAGCTTAACCTCTTTGCCACTGCACCTTTGCCTCGAGTCTTCTTGCTCGCCACTTGATTCCTTTGGGGCAGGGGTTGTGGATAAACTCACCAATGCTTTGTGGGGCCTGGTATACGTTCCATTTCCATCCATTTCCGGTATTTGGGTTTCTGTGAGAACAGGGGCACCCCAAAATGCAGTCGTTAATCATCGCTAAGCCTATTGAAGTTGCATACTGGTATACCAATTTTCGGACTGACCCATTTGAAGCAGAGCAGGACAGTAGAATAGTACAACACATGACATGCTTGTTATGGACTGTAGCCACAAGTTATGGAGACTACACAGGCTTGTCCATCAACAATGTCTGTCTTCAACCATGTATTGTTGTACATGTTTGTTTCTTGCTGATAGTAAAAACTATAGTAGGCACTGGGGAAGCTAGATGTCATGAAATTGCCTATCAATTTGGTGGAACTTGACAATATGGAGATGTTTTGAGCCTGGAACTGTGTCATTTCACCAGTGATATGTGTTGGTTTACAAAGCATAGTAACTAGTTCGATGTATCCTTGATATCTCTACCATAAACCAAGCAGTCATTGGAGTGATGTTCACATGATGTTCACCAAGTTGGATCCCAGGATTGGTATGCCCAGATGTTGAACGATACTGCCCGAAACGTGGCCTTCGAGCACGGTCTCCAACGTTCGCTGAGAGAAGGAGGCCGCGCAGCGTGGCTGGAAAGGGGGGGGTGGGAGATGGTGATGGCCCAGGTATGGGATAAATCCCAGGTGTAATATACCCTTTGCTAAACTAACTTTTCTACGGAAAATCACATTTTTTTATAAGTAAATCATGGTAAATCAACTATAAATCAGCAATTTTCCATAGCTATGTTAAATGGTTCCTACAAGAATATAGGTGTTAGTGGATGGTGAAGATTAAGACACTGCGACACAGCTCCTTGCAATCAAGATTGTGTTTTAAGCCACGGTCTCAGACCACCGGTAGCTGATGACTTCGAGTCTACATGAAGGCTGGGAGTTTTGGTGAGATTCTCATTACTTGGTGGATAATAACCTTTTTTTTGTGCTCAAACCTTTTGCGTTTTTTTTCTTGGTACGTCCCACATCGTTTGGTGGTAAAGCCAGCATTTTTTGACACTGGGCCGGGTGCTGAATCCCACCAACGAACATATGCTGGTCATCTGAATGCCACATCGCCACATATTTTTTGGCGATATCTCTTGCCTTAAAGCCAAAAAGGCTCAAACTCAAAGCTGTCAAATCAGTTCTTTTTGCCAAAGAAGTTCACGATTTTCCAACAGGAACTTCTCAAGATTTTCCCCATCCTTTTCTTACTGGTGCTTAGTAGGGAATGGATGGGAATGGGGGGATGGGATGATGATTACTAGTGATTAAGGATCATTCCCATCCATTCCCTGCGTTTAGCAACAGTAAGTTTTTTCCAAAGCTTCCCAAATTTTTCGCCGTTGCGCCGAGGTGGTTGACCTGGGCTGCGGCTGTGGATTGCTGACCCGCCTGGCGCTGCGGCAAGGCGCCAGTGAGGCCTTGGCGGTGGAAATTGCGCCGCACCTGGCGCGGCTGGCACGGAGGATGCTGCCGGAGGCTGCCGGAGGGGGGCCTTGTTGTAACTATGATGTATACATATACTTATATATATATGATATATGGTATATGATATATGGTATATGATATATGATATATGATATATGATATATGGTATATGATATATGATATATGATATATGGTATATGATATATGTTCTATAGAATGATTAGACGTAATATATGGTTGGGGGTCATGGTTGCATCAATCCTTCGAAATTTAGAGTCCAAGCCGGTCCAAAATGAGAGTTAACAATTGATATAAACCCTTCGAATTTACGGGTGACAGATGGAACAAGAACGATGAAACATCATGGTTGAACCAACGAGGAAGAGTTGAATTGTGGCGGTGTTTCTTCTTCTCTTTCTCTTGCGATTCAGCAAGGTTTGGCCCATCCAAGTTACTGTTTCTGGGGTGCCATGGAACTGAGCTAGAAAGCGAAGATCGATTCGCAGAGGATGGTTGAAACAACAGCAGAAAATTCATTTTTTCCTGCTCCAAATCCTTTGGTTTTGCGAGGCCAAAGTGATCTGTGGTGATCTGCGGGCAGTCATGGTGGATGAGGTTCCACGCCTGTCACCAATGCTCGGGGGATGCCATACAGGGTATGAATGAAGCAAACTTTGGCGCCCCAAAAGTGGATGCTTGAATAATTCAAAAAGTCACGAGACATGGCTGGTTCAGTGAAATAATACTCCAATTGAACAAAACTATATAAATGGTTACAGACCACACATCAACGGTTCAATCCTGATCAACTATTGTGGTTTCCCCTGCCCAATTTTTTGACATGTTTCCCGCCCATGGCTTAGCCTACTGGTGAGGCGGAAAGGTTTGATGTGGTCGTGGCAGAGCTTTTGGATGCTGGTGGATTGGGGGAGAAAATTGTCCCGTTCCTACGGCATGCCAAGAGCAGGAGGGGCTGGGGTCGAGACCAACTGTTGTTTTTTTGGGAGTACCCTCTGGTTATTTAACATAGCCATGGTATAGATGGTCCATTTATAGATGGTTTATCTACTAATAGCATGGTGATTTTCCATGGCTATTGCTGTTAGTCATAACCAGAGGGTACTGTATTTGGTTCAACTTTTTGGGAGCAAAAGTCATGACGCTCCTGATGGTCTCGTGGAGGCTGCTGCGTCCTGATGGCTGCTGCATCCCAAGAAGACTGCGAATCCGCTCGGTCTTGCTGGATGTGCACTTGAGCAAGGGCCACCGAGTCGCCTGGGAGCCCAACCGTTGACTCAACGCAAGAAATGGGGATGATTTGAAGTATCCACTGGCAACGTCAACCACTTAAATACTCGAACACAGTTTCCAACCACTTCAACTTCACAAAGGTCGAAACCATCTTCTCTTCCAACCATTTTCCAACCGTTTTCCAGCCATTTTCCTGGGTTTTCTGCATCAATGAGGACTTAGCAGCTTGGGAGCCCTTCTGGCTCCCTGCTCGCGCCTCTCGTGGCGAGTGGCTAGGCATTGATCTGGATGCTGGTGCTGAATGGCAACCAGCTGCTTGGCTGAGTTGCTTCCACGACATCGCGAGGTAAGCATCCCAGAATGACTCACCCCGATGGTGGTAGGGTTGCACTTGGCAAGTGCACCAATTTTTCGGCCAAATTTCAGATGGTTGAAGACCAACAAAACTCGCCAAATTCATGGGCGATTTGAAGTTGCTGCCCCGTTGAGACTTGATATTCTGTCTGATTTTTCAGTTACTGTCGATCCATGATCCATCAATCAATATTAATCACTAAGGCTTCCAACATCATCGATCTCTTTGACTTGAAGCTTTCCAGCAAGTTCAGATGTGGCAGTGTGTCAAAACCTTGTACCCCTGGTGAACATCAAAATAGCTGGTAAATGGATGTTCATCCCCCTAAAAATGGTATTAATAGGTATTGACCCAACCCCATGTGTCTCGTCCCATCTTCCCATCTTTGTGGATTTCGTTGGGAAATTCGTTGGGAAATTGGGACATCTCCAGGAATTTCGAGGGCTCCCACTCGGATTTGATCGAGGCATTGCAGGTTGGGGCAGGGTTGGGCTGTGGAGAAAAAACACATTTTTTGCAGGTTGTTGTCCTGTTGGCCAGGGAAATCTCAGGTTTTTCCATAGCTTTTTAAGATTGCTTGTGATTGACAGCAGTTTCTTTGAATATCTTGGTAAATAGCTTTTCCCTTTTTGTGTGCGGCAAATGCCAGCAGCAGATAGATTTTTAGATGTTCCCAAGATCTGATATGAGGTCGGTGAAAGGCGATTGCTTGTTAACCCTTTTCCAGACCTGGAGGAGCGTGAGCATCTCTTTGAGCTGTTGGCGGATGCAGACTACAATGCTGTTGCATGGTGGTTTGAAGCCGCAACTTCGCCAAGATTTTGACGATGGGGGAACATACAGCGTCTTGAGATGGGGAGTAAGAGTCTTAGAACAAATATACAGTATCATGTGTACATATATATATATATAGATAATATAACTACGTATAACATATCATATATTTATATGAATTACAATGTATGTATATTATATATATATACATGGTTGAATCTTCGTCACACCTTGGAATGCTCAGATATCCTTTTCTTCATTCATTTCAAACCACATTCAAACTAGCTGGCTTTGACAATGAAGAGTGGGACTTCAGTGCCCAACACCTGCGCAACTGTTGCAGACTTGAAGTGCCAATCATTTTCTGTTGAATAAAGGGGAGAACTCCACTCTAAGGACTTGGGCATTGGTGAGCCAGGAGAGAGTGGACCCATCATTGGAGAACCCCCCCAAGTGCCATGTCAAGTGTCACTGCCATGTGGTGTTGCTCGGCATTTTTGAAGCTGGGACATGACGGGACCCATTAGCGCAACGTAAAGACTGACAAGTCAAAAGACATGGAGACACTGTGATCGATGGATGGAATTGCCTGTGAAGCTTCGTTTAGAACTGGCCATGGATCCATTTGAGCATGTCCTTGTAAAGAGTTATGGTTGCAATGATTATTCATATCATGTTTCTAACCCATTCCAACCCTCTCGAACGTTTTTTTTCTCTTTAGTGAGAAGGGATTCTGTGATGCTAGCTGCGCGTTCACAAGGCTATCATGAAGCAATCTATGGTTATGTGGGAGGCAGTGACTGAGACTTTATAAGAGGCTTTGTTGCCCCACATGGGTCCCGCGAAAGATAAACTTGGTGTTTGCGAAAGTCTTGCGAAAACAAGTCGAATTCTATTACGCGAAGAATGGCTGTTTCCGGATTTTTAGGAACTTGGATCAACCACCACACATTGAAAGACATCAAATCTCATTGGGGCGCACTATCATGCCCAATGGGTTACCATTTGGTTATTTAACATAGCCATGGAAGCCATGGCCCATAGAAATAGATGATCTTCCCAGCTATAAACCTCCATTTATGGTTGGGATTTTCCATGATTTTCCATGGCTATGTTAAATAACCCAATGCGATGTGGTCCTGCAGGATCATGCGATTTGACCAGTGCGCCGCGCCGTTTTCGGCCAGCCAAGTGTGATGCAACTCACTGGGTGCAAGCTGTTGCAGGTGGGGGCATGATATTTCCATATATATATAATATAATATAGAGTTATATATAATATATAGTTATATATATATAGTTATATATATATAGTTATATATATATTTCCCATGTCACAAATCCACGATCTGGAAATCCAGCATGGCAAAGGATTATGGAAACACGAACTTTCAATAGGATCCGAGTTCGGAACTATTTCCCTGATCCAATATCATTCAGACTAGCATGATTTCAACGTGAATTCATCTGGGTATGGATCAATACCTATAGATACATTTTTAATGGGTTATTCACATCCATAAATCCCAGCTATGACTTGGGGTTCACCAGGGGTACCAGGGTTTTGACTCATAGCCATCTGAGTTCACAGCGAAAGTTCCATATTTTGTTGGTGAAAAGTCTACCTCCGGCAATGAAACGTGGCTGGAAAATCCCCAGTGGGAACCTCCATAAACCGTTCGTTTCCCAGCTTGCCATGTTTGATTACCGAAGGGTAAGGGTATTCACCAATATTCAATCAATATCCAATTAATATTCAATTAATATCCAATCAATATCCAATTAATATTCAATTGATATCCAATCAATGTCCAATGAATATTCCATTTTCTATTGTATCGCCATGATCTATATCCCGATTAAACATGATTAATCCACCATTTTTGTTGCTTCAATCCGTCCGCGCAGGCCTGGGACGCTCCAGATCCGGCCGCAGCCTCACGATGCGCGTGCGGACGGACGGGGTGCAGATCACCTGGTTGCCGGAGGAGGAGGTACCTGGAGTCAGATGATGTGGAGCTGCAAAGCTGGAATTATGTGCTTAATTATGCTTATATACGTAACCCTTAAAACACTTATAAAACATTATAAAACAAGCCCAGCGAAAGCTACGACGAAAAAACAAGAGATTGAGCCCAGCCAAACCCTGCGGGAGGATGGCGCAGCGGCCCTCCGGGCGGCCCGCTCCACTGCTCTCCTTCTCCTCCCATCCACTCCCTCTCCTGCTTTTTCTTTTGTGCTCTCCTCGCTGCTCTTCTCTAGTTTGTCTTCTCTTTGTTGCTTTGCTTTGTGGTTTGCTTGCCCTTTCTCCGTTCCTCATGCTTCTTTGTTTGCTCTTCTCTTCCACCTCTACTTTTCTCCTATTCGCTTCTTCTCTTCCCCTATTCTCTTCTCTCTCTCTCTCTCTTCTCCTCCTCTCCTTACTATCCTGCTCTGCTCTGCTCTTCTCCCCTCTTCTCTCCCTTTAGTCTTGCCCTCCTTCCTCTTCCACTAATCTCCTCCTAGGCTCTCTCTTACACTCCTCTTGTTCTCTCCACTGTTCTTCTCTTCGCATCTGTGGATTTCTCTGTTCATCTCTTTTCTCTACTGGCCACCGCGGCTAACTCACTCTCCTCTCTCTGCTGCAATCCTTTCGTCTCTTCTCTTCTTTTGCTGCTCTCAGTTCGCTCTTGCTTCTCTTCTTGGTTCTCTTACTGTATCCCCTCTGTGCCCTTCCTGCCTCTGCTCTCCTGCTCTCCTCCTATCCATGTTGCTTTTCTCTTCAAGTCTCTTTTTTCCCTTCTCTTCTCTGCTCTATTCTTCTGCTTTTTCTTTTGTGCTCTCCTCTCTGCTCTTCTCTGCTTTGTCTTCTCTTTCCTCTTTTGCTCCCATGTCCTTCCACTTGCCCCAAGTCCACATCATTCATGACTTTCCTTGTCACTAACTTGTCACTGTCCTTGGTCCTTTTCCCTTCTGCTCCTTCCCTGCTCCTCTCCTTCTTTCCGTTCCCGACCTCTGTTTTGGATGCTCGTAAAGATATCAAAGCAAACATGTTTTTTAATCAAAAACTCAAGGTATATGTGCAGATCACGGGTGAAACCTGGACTTACACTTTGATTTTTAGAAATTCTGGACAATGGAAGCTAACTTATATATATATATAACATGCTATATCCATATACAACTCTTTCACGTACAACCTTTCACACACAACTCTTTCACACGCAACTTCGTCACACATATCTCTTTCACGCACAGACTGAACACACCAACTTCCACACACAACTCTTTCACACACACACACAAGCCCCTCTGCCACCACGAGAGTGGCGCTCAAGTTTCTTCATCAGCGGAGAGGGTTTTCTTTTGCGGTGCCTTAGGTGCGGTGGTTTGTCGCTCTTTCATTCCCTTTTGCCATTTGCCTCATTTCGTTGCCGTGCGCGTGTGATTTGCCTGCAGGGGCTCAGATTTCTTTGGTTTCAACCCTGATCATTTTGTTTGATTTGTGCCTATTTTGAGCACAACTGAAGCTCAATTACGACGCGCTTTCTGGTGCCTTGCTGGATCACTGCGTGGTGCTGGCTGACGATCACTGTGCTTGATCCAGGAACCAAATTCTGTGGGGTTGGCTCCCAGCGACGTGTTTCTGGCCAGAAGGTTCCTTTTGGGTCAATAAGTGTCCAGCAGCACGCGTGGCGCACTTGGTCCTTGCAACGAGGCCCACACGAACAGTTTTTTGATCCAGGTGGCAATTCAAAATTTTGGCTGGTTTTTCAGGACGAAGGTGAGCTGTCTGAACTTACCTGGCCTCAGGGATTACAACACATTTCTTTTTGGCATACAGAGCAAGAGGATTTTAAAGGGGTCGGCTCCCTTTTTCTGACTGGCCGTGTTTCCACATTAATTTGCAGACCTTTTTCCCGGAATTTCTGTGGTGAGTGGGCTGCAGCTGTTTGGTATTGCACTTCCATTGTTTTTCTGGAGGATACAAACAGGGGTGGGCTCCCTCTGAGAACTCACTGGCCCAGACAAGTGGATTTTACACAGTTAAGCGTGCTGGCCAATATTTCATTGCATCGAATTTCAGAGGCTGTCCTTCTACACCCTGACTGGTTGCAGAAGGCTGACAGTGCACTTCATCCTTGCCATCCTGCAGCTCGGATATTGAGTGCTTTTGCCACTGTTCAATTCCCTGCGACTTTCTGGCTAATTCTCTACAGTGCACTTGACGGTAATTTCAGGGGTGGGCTCCCTTTTCACCTGACTCACTGGCCCGGATTGATTTTTGGTGATTTCATTCATTTCCTTGAGAATTCACTGGTAGCAGCACAGAGTTTTCGACACACGGTGGAGTGGGCTTCCAAACTGATTGTCCCAGCACTGGTATCACAGAGGGGTTGGCTCCCTTACACTGACTGGCCTCTGGGCGCTTGGCTTTTTCATACAGGCAAGAAACACTACACAGTTTTTCAACTCCTCAGAACCACTTTGCTGGTTGCAACATCAGGGGTTGGCTCCCTTAAACTGACTGGCCAAAGCTGCTTACAAGACTGTTTTCACTGCAATCTATTTACGATTTTTCAAGAGTTTATATTTCAGGCGCATTGGCACATCTTTTTTCTGGGAATCTGCGCACTTCTGCTGGCCAACGTTGCCCTTAAGTGGCTGATTTCCCTTGGACAAACCACCACCACCTATTTGAACTTTCAGCGGCATTGCATTGAAACCTGGAAACTTGGCGCGTTTCGACCTACGGGCTCGTGCAGGTCTGGTCCCAATTCCAGACGCAGTTCGGCGCGATCAAACCGGGTCTTTGGCTTTTTGCTCTTTTTCCTGGCTCTTTGTGTTCTCTACTACAAGCTGAACTGTTGGGGCGAGGGTAGTGTCTCAGCCATGGGAGACACGGAAGTCCACCTTTCCTCTACTGGTGATACAATTCAGTGGACAAAGCGACATGGCATGCAGCCTCCAATGTGCAACCGCACACCAGGAGGGCCAGCAACAGCAATCATTGGAAGATCCAAGGTGGAGAAAAGAAGCCTTCTTCGGGCATACAGACGGTCATTGAGTGTGGGTTCTGCTTGGTATCGAGGGAAGCATTATTCTTCGGATGCTTTTGAGCGCATGGGCTGCAGGCTTGCTGACGCTACTCCTGCCCCCGCACTCACACCTGGCTTGCGAGCTGACTGGGAAAAATGCAATTCCAAACATGGAAACAAAGGGCGTTTTTCCTTCTGGCAATGGAACAGTGGAGGCCTGGCCTCACATACACTGGATGAGGTCAAGGCTTGGCTGGTGATGAATTGTGTTGACATTGGAATCATTGTTGAAACCCGGCTTTCTTTTGACTCACATTGGACTGACCAGCATTGGCACCACATCCATTCAGGGGAAGAGGGCAACCGGGGCAAAGGAATACTTATTCTTATCTCCAAGAAGATTTGCCAGATGTCCCACATCAGATGGCAGGTTCATGACAGTGGCCGCCTGGTTCATGTACGCTTACAGCTTCAGCCCAGAGCGATTGATCTGGTGGCGTGCTACCAGCACACGTTTCAAGCGACAAGAAGCTGTAAACAGGCTAGGGATCAGTGGTGGACCCTATTGGCGCATGTACTGGCGGGTTTACCCAACAGGAACTGCCTCATTTTAGCTGGGGATTTTAACTGCTCTGTCTCTGCCTCTCCTGGATGTGTTGGAATCTCTAAGTTTGCTTGGCGTGGCCACTACATCACTGGAACCACACATGGGGACTTTCACAAATTTTTGCAGATCCTGCGGGACAATGCTCTGACAGTGCTCAATTCATGGTCAGCCTCTGCAGGCCCTACATATGTGCACTGTGAACAAGCTAGCAGGATTGATTACATCTGCGTTCGACAATTTTACGCTGATGGCGAGGCCAAGAATGTGAAATATTTGTGGCACTCCCCTTTCCTGAACCAAACAGCAGTGGGGCATGCGCCTCTCTTGACTACCATTGCCAAGTACTGGATCCCAGATAATAGCTCTTGCAAGATCCAGGGTGTGACCATGCAGCAGAGACAGATTGGCAGACAGGCGTACCTGACACAATCAGATACGTGGCAGGCATTCACAGAAGCTTCTCAGCAACTGCTACTGGCACACCTGAGTTCTCCCCGGGATGTCAATGACTCATTGCACAACATGCATTGCGCGATGCTGCACTCCTTTTCAAATTTCTTTCCAAGAGGAACGATGACAAAGTCAGCATCACCGTGGCAAGCTGCGATGGGCACCATCCTGAATAAGTGGGAGCACAGGAGAGCCATGCTGAAAGCTCATGTTGTCACGTTGCACAATGTTTTTAAAGTTTGGTTTCATGCTTCACGCTTTGCATTGTTGAAACGCTTTCATAAACATCAATCCAGGGTGATTCGAAACCAGCAATTTGAGGAGGTTGTTGCAACTGCAGCCACAGCCGCTGCCAATCATGACACTCATAAATTATTTCATGTGATCAACCGTTTTGCCCCCAAACAACCAAGAAAACAGATCCAGATCCGAAATTCACAAGGCCATCTGGCCACACCAATTGAGAGTGCTGCCATCATCAATCAGTTTGTGACAGACACATGGCATGGACCCAGACATCTTGATTTGCGGTTTGAACGGCCACCAGGAGTCCCCTTTTCAGTGCAACAGTTAGAGAGGGCCCTAGCAATGATACCTGTGACCAAAGCTACGGCCAAACCTTTTGCCCCTGGCATGGTTTGGCGTCAACTAGCTCCCACCCTTGCACCAATGCTGTTTGACCTTTTGCAACAGTGGTGGAGTCAAACTCCACCAATCATACCAGACGCTTGGCGTCATGGCTGGCTTTTTCTCATCCCAAAACCCCTGAAGCCTCCTGTGACCCCCCTGCATCTTCGCCCCCTGGCACTCCAGGAACCAGTAGGTAAGGCGGTGATTGGACTGCTTATCCATTTGGCTATGCAAGATGCTAGGGGTCATATGATTCAGTATCCTATTTGGTCCTACATGGAACATCGTTCTACTTTAGAAGCCATTAGGAGGGTTAGCCAGCATTGCCTTGAAGTCAGACAGCTAATTAGCATGTGCCGCTCGACGCCTCACGCCAGAGCAGCCGGTGCACCCAAAGTTAGTCTGTATGGAGGAGCTCAGCTCTGCATCGACTTGCAAAGGGCATTTGATGGAGTCAATCGTGTCAAACTTTTCCAGCGTCTTCATGAGCTTCAGATCAGAGAAGAGATCATCCAGCTGTTGGCCTACTGGCATGAAGAAACAGACTACTTTGTGCAGCATGACATGGCCACTGCCCAAATCCCGATTGGCCGTGGAGTGCGGCAGGGATGTAAGGCTGCCCCAGGGTTGTGGAACAGTTTTATGGTCCTCCTCTTACATGATTTGAATGAGCATGTCCCCCTAAGCTGGATCCAATCTTGCATCACAATTTACGCTGACGATTGTCATATTGGCTCATCCTTTACTTGCATGGAAGAGTTTTGCCATTTTCAACAAACCCTTGGCATTCTTTTTTCAACAATGCAATCATTGGACATGGCAGTCAGCCCTGGCAAATCTGCGGCACTGCTTGAACTGCGCGGACCTTTGAGCAAGACTGCTCGATCCCGTTTTGTGCGGCACGATCACAATGGTGACAGTTTGAAAATACACGTTCCTGGCGGTGCAGAAATTCACATACCCATTTGCAAGAGCACAAAGTATTTGGGCGTGATCATTTCATATGGCAGTTTTGAAGACAGCAGCATCAGACATCGACTTAAGCTGATGCATGTTGGCTTTCGCAGACTGCAGCGGTGGCTCACGGGAAAACACAACTTGGCTCTCTCACAACGTTTTCAACTGTGGAAAACCTGCATTTATCCTATCTTCAGTTACGGCATTTTTGCTACTGGAATGACACCACATGGATTGAAACAGGCTATCACTCAGATGACAGTCATGATGCGACGAGTTCTGCATGATCATGCCTATGTGACACACAGAACCAATTCAACAGCTTTTTCAAGACTGAACATCCCGGCACCGGCGCAACTTTTGCATGGCACAGCAATTGCACTGCTGAGGACCCTGCAAAACAGACAGATGATTTTGCTGCCCCATGACCTTGCACATTCAATCACATGGCCACATCTTCCAGACCTTGTACGCCTCCTGGAACAATTGCAGGACACACCAGCAGTGGAGACACCTTTGAACATTTTGCCTGAGGCGTGGGATCAACCTTTTTTCCAATGTGCTCACTGCAATTTCTGCACAGCTGATGTGAGTGCGTTCAGACGACACTACACGCAAGTGCATGAACTCCCCATGAACAGAACCCAGTTTGTTCAACCTGCAGACTTCACACTTGATGGGTTGCCCACATGTAAGTTTTGCTTGACCACCTTCTCTACATGGCGTATGTTCACAACACACATCGAGCGTGGATGTCAGGAGCTTCTTGCGGGACCCAGCTCACAGACAGTGATCCCTGGACGCAAAGGTGCTGCCCTTGGTACCATTGAACCCAAGATGCAACATCATCCTTCTGATGCGGCTGCCAGAGGCCTGCGCCTCATTACAGAGGAAGAGCTGCATCACCTGAAGAGCCTACCTTTTGGGGAACGCTTGCTTCACATTGTGCAGGAACGAGATTGGCAAAAGGTTGAACAGGCCCAAGACATTTGCAGATATCTGGCTGCACGCTGTGTGATCTGCTCCCATCAGTTCTCACGTTGCCAAGAGCTTCATCAACATTACAGGCTCCAACATCCAGTACTATGGGAACACGTTCCTCCAAAGGCGATCCAGCTGACGAACCTGTTTTGCACAGACAGCCCTTGCCCTTGTTGCGGTGCACTTTTTGCCACACACTCTTGCCCCACATGGTCACAGATAGCAGTGCTCTTGGTGAATGGAGCTGGCATGGAACCATCAGAAGACTTCACCACCACTGAGGCCCGACAGCGTTGTGAACTTTGCCTTCTTTGTTTTCCTTCTACTGCTGACCTGGTGCAACATCTTCAAGCTGAGCATGGACTTCAAGGCCTGAGTTTCAATGGCAGCAGGGACTCCATTGACAACACATCAGCCTGCGCACATTGCGGGCAATTATTCATGACGATGGCTGGATTGAAATCGCACATAGTGCAGGGCAGATGTCAGTTTTTCAATCCCCAGGCCTCAGCAGAAACGAAGCAGGTTGAGGACTTGTGGCTTGAGGCCTGTTTTGACGGCAAATTGCAACAGGTTTTGCACCCAGCAGCAACTCGTTTGAGATTGACAGTAGTCTGCCAGGCATGCAACAAAGGCTGCAAAAGGGCCGCCGACCTGGCCCTACATTTACAGACCTCTCATGCCAGGCTGTGGAGGGAATCGAAACGGCTGACCATGGTCCTTTCTGCTGTTTTCTCCTCTCAATGTTTCTGCAACCCACAGCTGGGGACCAAACGTGGACATCATGTTTGCTTGCCCTTGAGGCAGTTGGCAATGTGCTATCACAGGGTGAATAGGGAGCCTTTTGCACCCATGCTGATCACGGACACGATGCTGCAGGCCATTTTCTCAGACAAATTGCCCAGAGCTCCACAGTATCGACTTGAGCAAGCATTGGTGCACAGACAATTTGCAGACATCTGGCAGGACCGGGACCTCCTGCTGTTTCTTCGAACGTATTGCCTGTTTTGCGGCAGCCAGCCCTGTACCTCTGACTTGGCCCTACACCTCAGAGAGGAGCATGCTTGCAGCCACAACACATGCTTGTTTTACATGGAACAGCTGTTGCCCACAGTTCATGCCTTGAACCCTGATGACTTCCAGTGCCAGCTGTGTGGACAGATTTTCAATCTCCCTGCTCACATGTGCCCTGACCAGCCTGCTCATGACCGGGTCACCTTGGCTCTGTCTCATTTGAAGGGATCGTGCCCGACGTTGCTTCAACTGGCCTTGCTGTTTGGCGCTCTGTTGCATGGAGGCCCACTGCAACATGGAGACGGGGGACAATGGCATCACCGACCAGATGAGGGAGGTGTTTGGAGCCATCATGCCCATGCTGGACAGGAGCCTCAACATGGCGCCCAATCCGAGGCGCTCCAAGGCCCCTCGAAGAGGCGACACACAACCAGAGGACGCAGGTCCACAGGCAACACAACAGCAGGAGATCAGACAAATGATGCAAATGATGCAGCTGATGGCTCAACTGGTCGTCAAACAAGATCAAGAATGGAACAGTCTGCGCAGAACAGATCAATTCATTCTTTTTTTGAACCCCGACCCACAGGGCGCATTGCATCAACTGGTTCAGGAGACAGCCCAATGGAAACAACAAATGGAGAACCCATCGAAGTTCCAGATGAAACCCTTGCGTCAGCATCTCATCTTGACCTTGTTGCAGGCTCTTCACACCAATGCGGGCAAGATTGTGGAGAGCAAAGAATCGGAGCCCCTGCACCAAACATCGGTGCAGAAAGGGCTGATCCTAGCAGACAAGAGCTTTCCATTTCACAGATGGGATGCCCACAATCAGAAGTTGATGATCGACAAGAAGCAACCAGTGAGCTCTCAGAAGATGTTCCAACACTTGACCGAGCTGCAGGAAATGGTACTGGACCGAGACCTGGTGGTCCGCTTCCATGCTCTGAGAGCGGTGTCGGACAAGGACCTCAAAGCAGTCCCGTGGAGATTGCAAATCAACCTTCGGAACAACAGAGCCTACGAGCTTCTACTTCAACTTTGCCACAATGCAGTCTGGATGGCAGTGGGAGCAACACTCAAACCCCACTCCTTGGGACAGTCAACGATGGCAACCAATCTCCAGGCCATGATGCACAAGCCGAAGGGCAAGGGCAAAGGCAAACATCAAGCCAAGCTCTCTCCCAAGAAGGAGTCCTGAGGGCGACATACACGCCTGAGTTGGCTGCCACCTTGCTGAAGAATGCTTGCGGCCTCATCATGCAAAATGATCGCAATTGGTGCTATGTAAACAGTGTAATGTATTGCCTGTTTTGGACCTTGCTCTGTCTGGATAGGCCGACTTTTGACCTTTGGGGTGCGCATGGAACAGAGCTGGTAGAGTTTCTAGTTCAGCACTCAAGCAAAACCGCAGTGCTGGCAGACATTTCCTGGCTTGCTCCCATTTTGCGCGATTGGGGACCAACACAGGCACAGAAGGATTGTGCTGAATGTGCACAAAAAATTCTGACCTGGCTTGCGGCAGACGCGTTTGACATGCGCTGGGAAAGACGCCTTGAAACAAATGAGGGCTTCATTCCAATGGATGCCAACAGTGCTTGCACACCCATCCTTTTGAGTTTTTCCAGACGCATGCATTTGACTGGTAGTTGCATCTTTTCAGAACTGATTTCCCTCTGGTCTCAGGAGAATTCCATGAGGGCAGCGCTGCTGGCTGCTTCCCCCTGCCTCTGCCTGCAGCTGGACAGACATCATCAGGATGAAGATGGAAACATTACCAAAACTACATGCCAGATTGAGATGGAGACTGAATTGGTCATTCCAATTTTCACACACCATGACATGCGGCTTGAACATGTAGGGTACATTCCCATTGCGGGAGTAGCACACCTGGGACTGGACTTGGAGGGACACTGCCGATCCATTCTGAAAATACAACCGTCACTGGTCTCGGCAACGCGCCCTGCGACTTGGCTGATTACAGATGATGATCAAAGACCCACACCGCAGTGGACCGTTCCAAAATGGTTTCAGAGCAACGCAGTCCTGATTTGGTTGGTGCGCACGGATCTGCTTGGCCTTCCTGCCTATCATCCTGATCTGACAGAAGTGACGGCGCTGATGCACAAGGCGATGCCGTCTCAAACTGAGCTGATTGCAACTGCTGCCATCCCAATCCCTGAAGCTGACCCACAGAATGAGCTGCTGCATCTCTTGGCAGCGCAACATGGTGCTGACACAGATGGAAATGAACGAAGGTGACTCATGGATCTTTCATTTCTCCAAGCACGTTTTGATGCTTTGATTTTCCAATTTCCTTTTGCTGTTCACCTGGCCTTGAAGCTTCCGTTTCAATGGAACCATCGACATTAAGTCTCGATGAAGGCTGGCACGTACCTGCAGATGCAAAACAGGTGTGTAGGAAAAAAACACACACACACACCTCTTTCACACATCAACTCTTTCACACGCAAATTGTCACACACACACAACTCTTTCCGCCTTTCCCATCCTACTTTCACACCTGTTTTGTGCTTATTGGAAGAAGTTGACATATGGGGTTCTCCGGTCCTTCAATTTTGCAGGATTTCACCATAGTTTTGGGTCACCAAAATGGTGTGTTTTAGGCCCACCATGGTCCACAGTTGTGTTGCCTGCGAGGAGAGCGTTTGCAGCCCCTTGCTGGATGCCTGGCGTCAGCAAGCCGCTGAGGCAGACCAGAAACTCCGAGGTGGGGAACGCAGATTTTAGCAGATGCTTAATATTAACAATCTAACTATTGGGGTACCCAATTTTGACCCATAGCCAAATATTTCTGAATTCAAAGGTAGATAAATGTAACTTTAAGTTGCCAAGAATTGGATTGTAACTTTAGTTAACATTATGTTAGCCATTTTACTCATTCATTACAATGGATTGATGTAACTGTAAGTAACCAAAAGTGGGATTTAACTGTTTTTTTTGGCGAATATGTGGAACCAGTAAACATATGGGGCTATATGACACATGCGGATATTTGCCATCAATGTACGAACCATTTTATGGAGGCAATCTGAGATAGTAATCGATGAATGGAGAGTTAACTAACAAAAAGTAGATTGACAAAATCGACTAACCAACCAATGCGTTTTTAGCGAAGAAACAGGGATATAACAAGTTGGAAATACTATGGGGATTTATCTAGCAACAATTAAACATGGGGGATGTTCATTAACCATTATATGGATATATAATGGGAATGGGGGATATTTATAACCAACAAAATGTATATATGGGATTTATAACCAACAATATGGATTAATATGGGTTTGATGGGTTTGCCCAAAAAATAGGGCATAGCCTGATTTATGGGTTAGTGACTCAGCCGTACACGCGAAATTGGACTCAGCCATACACGCGGAATTTGACTCGGCTGTACACGCGAAATCAACTCAGCCATACACGCGAACTCAACTCAGCCATACACGCGAAGTGTATCTCAGCCATACACGCGACAAGACAATGTTTTGGCCATAGCTTCGATGAGCACATGTTTGCAGTGTGTTACAATTACAATATGAGCAGATGATCTTGAGTGCATGCATGTTCAGCGCTAGGGAGCTGTCGTTCATGTGTGCGCAGATGTCATGCTAGCGTTACAGGAGTTTATCTTGCACTTGGCAATGTACTTAGACTTCTTGTATCATAGTAGATCGTATGTTTCACATGCGTAGGTACTGCTGCATGAGCCAAAGCTTTTATTACCTACGCGAAGAGAAGATGACTTTGATGTGCGCACGCGTACTAGAAGTAATGCATAGGCAGAGCACTTGTAGGTAGCGACCGCGTGCGTGCAACAGTATGACGTCTTATCTGGCAACTGTAGAACGCGTGCACATACTCCTGCTACTGTATGTGCACTACCTACTCCCGCCCCTGCCAAGACTATGTTGAGGGTGCACTGCGTCCGATGACAGGCGATCAAGGTGCAGTGCTTTTGTGTGTGCAGAGGAACATGAACGCTTTTGTCCCCCCCCCGCCCCTGCCCAAAACTATTGCTTCAGATGACAGGCGATCAAGGTGCAGTGCTTTTGTGTGTGCAGAGGAACATGAACGCTTTTGTCCCCCCCCCCTGCCCCTGCCCAAGACTATGTTCAGGGTGCACTGCTTCCGATGACAGGCGATCAAGGTGCAGTGCTTTTGTGTGTGCAGAGGAACATGAACGCTTTTGTCCCCCCCGCCCGCTATTCCTTCAGATGAGAGGCGCTCAAGGCAGTGCTTTTGTCTGTGTGTGTGTGTGCAGAGGAACATGAACGCTTTTGTCCCCCCGTGCCCCTGCCCAAGACTGTGTTCAGGGTGCACTGCTTCCGATGACAGGCGATCAAGGTGCAGTGCTTTTGTGTGTGCAGAGGAACATGAACGCTTTTGTCCCCCCCCCGCCCCTGCCCAAGACTATTGCTTCAGATGACAGGCGATCAAGGTGCAGTGCTTTTTGTGTGTGCAGAGGAACATGAACGCTTTTGTCCCCCCCTGCCCCTGCCCAAGACTATGTTCAGGGTGCACATGGGCAGATGACAGGCGATCAAGGTGCAGTGCTTTTGTGTGTGCAGAGGAACATGAACGCTTTTGTCCCCCCTTCCGCCCCTGCCCAAGACTATTGCTTCAGATGACAGGCGATCAAGGTGCAGTGCTTTTGTGTGTGCAGAGGAACATGAACGCTTTTGTCCCCCCCCCGCCCCTGCCCAAGACTATGTTCAGGGTGCACATGGGCAGATGACAGGCGATGAAGGTGCAGTGCAGGGCGCAATGCTGCAGGGTGTCTTACTGGCTAGTGTGTGGCTCAGGCCTATGTGTGTGTATGGCTGAGTCCGTTTTGTGTGCGCAGCTGAGTTGTATCTGTGTGCATGACGGAGTTAGATCTGTGTGCGTGGCTGAGTTGGATCTGTGTGCGTGGCTGAGTCGTTTACCTGATTTATGGCATGGCAATTTTCCTTGGTAAAACGCTGATCAACCCATTTGGATTTGGTGCTTCAATCACCGTGTTTTTTGTCGTTTCAATGGGAGATCTTTTGGATCCAATTGATGTAGGTACGTAAACCTACCATATGTTTAAGGCCATATGAATTGTGGGGATATTCCCTTACATAGGCCTGAAAAATAGGCCTTATATATGGTAGGTACCTCCAATGAATCGGTTCCTCAAATGGCCACTGATTAAACCCCATATTTCTGGGCGAAGTCCCACCATATTTGCTGTGAAATCCCCATCCAACATGCAGATCTGGAGAGACATCTGGATGCGGGCGGGGACGTGGCACGCTTGGCCGCCGTGAAGAGCGCCGCGCTGTGTCTCTCGGCGCAACCGCGGCGCTTCGGATTAGAGGCCAGGCCCCAGGCCCCTGAAGTTGGAAACATGTATGGAACTTGAGGGGATTTACATGGATTTACATAATGTATCATGATTTACATAATATATCATAATGTATCATGATGTAGTTTGATGTTGAGTTTTATGTCTAATTTTGCAGGAACCCAAGTTCAAATGGTTTGGAACATTTTTTGGCCATTAAAATTGGCTATGAATTGTGGCATCTCCATTTTGAGACAAACCATCACAAACCCATATAGTAGATGAGCAGGCAGTGGAATCTATATAATCCAAACAGTCTTATCCGAGCGGCGTTAGCTAACACCCCACTTGCCGTACTGACCATTTGCTAGTTTTAGTGATCCAAGAGTTTTGCTCCAAAGGATGATACCATGCACAGCTGTGAGATGCAGGCGACGCCGGAAGTCGTGAGCCGTTTATTGAAAGCTCTCTTTGTGTGAAAAAAGGGGTGCTGCGGCTTTGTTTGCTCAGTGTCAGCTGGCAGTGGTGCTGGAAAATCAGAACGGCCTTGTGCTGCATGAAATCGGCGGATCTCATTTTTTTTTAAAATATGTTTTTTTGGTTAATGTTGGGTAATATGGGTTAATATGGGTTAATATGGGTTAATTTTTTTGGTTAATGTTGGTTAATATGAGTATATATGGGTTAATTTTTGGGTTAATGTTGGTTAATATGGGTTAATATTGTTGGTTAATGTTGGTTAATGTTGGTTAATATGGGTTAATATGGGTTAATATGGGTTAATATTGTTGGTTAATGTGGGTTAATATGAGTTAATATGGGTTAATATTGTTGGTGAACCCATGGATCAGTGTAGCTTGGTCTCAGATGGGTGCACCGCAGATCGCCATGATTGGGAAAAATAGCTGAGGTCACCATGGTCGAGAAGGCCCTGATTGGATTTCTTTTTGGAGGGTAATTTAATTTGTTTTTTTTTTGGTATTTTTTTTTTTCCTCCTCTCCTGGTGGCTTCTGTGGCTCCTGGTGGCTCCTGGTGGCTCCTGGTGGCTTCTGCGGCTCCTTGTGGCTCCTGGTGGCTTTTGCGGCTCCTGGTGGCTCCTGGTGGCTTCTATGGCTCCTGGCTCCTAGAGCTCCTCGCTCCTATGGCTCATTTATCATCTATCGATCAATCTATCAGTGAAGCATGTTCACCAGGTGCATGTTGTGCATTAGATACACCTTGAGTATCATCTATCTATCTATCCATCCATCTATCTATCTATCTGTCTATCTATCTGTCTATCTATCTATCTGTCTATCTATCTATCTAACTATCTATCTGCCTATCTATCTATCTATCTAACTATCAAACTATCTATCTACTTGATTCTATCTATATCTATCTATGTCTATCTATATCTATATCTATCTGTATCTATCTATTTCTATCTATATCTATCTATATCTATCTATATCTATCTGTATCTATCTATATCTATCTATATCTATATATATCCATCTATATCTATCTATATCTATCTATATCTACGTATCTATATCTATCTATATCTGTCTATATCTATTTATATCTATCTATATCTATCTATATCTGTATCTATATCTACATCTATGGCTGTATCTATATATCTATATATTATCTAGATTCTAGAAGCCTGTGGGCAGAGGTTTCTAGTATGTACCAGGGGATCTGTGGCAAGCTTAGTTGGTGCAAATGGCGACGGCATGACGACGACATGCCCATGGCATGGTGACAGCATCGCGACGGCATTGCGACGACATGGCGACGACACGGCGACCACATGGCGACGGCTTGGCGACGGCATTGCGACGACATGGCGACGACACGGCGACCACATGGCGACGACATGGCGACGACATGGCGACGACATGGCGACGACATGGCGACGACATGGCGACGACATGGCGACGTGGCCAGGACGACAACGACGACGGTGAGAACGACGATGACGGCGATGACGAGGACGACGGCGACGATCACGAGACAGAGTTATATAGGGTATGGTGTCGACATAGATATACATATGGCTATGGTTTGATGATGCCGAAGCGCGTTTGTCACAACCAAATCAGTTTTTCGTATGTTCTTTCCCAGATGGGCGCCATGCTTTCTGAATCGGGCAAGGCTAAATGGGTGTGTTTCGTGTGCTGGCAGCATTCAACTTGAATTGTGTTCGATCAATGGGTTTGAGACAACAGCAGTTTTTTTTTTGACAGCCCATGAGCTCTCATGTTGCTAAAGTCACAACTTGGACAAATTTAGTGAATCTCAATTCGGGGTTCTTTGATGTTTCTGTGCATAAGTATATTCCCAGGCAGGAGGGATGAATTCGCCGGACAATGCGGGGAACACATGGCTTATTGTTTTTTTATCCCCCGCCCTGTCCGGATATGAACCCCTTTTGTCTGGAGCTAGGGGTGCGGAAAAAGTGTTTCCCTTTTATGTGGTTTTTGAAACCCCTTCCTATATGTCTCGCCTCTGTAGGAAGCCGCTCCGTGGGGTTCCTCCCCAGTCCCACTGTACGTCTGGATTTAGCGGTTCCAATTGGTATCTAGAAGGGGGGAATCTAGGCTACACTTATATTCAACTCTTTGGAACTTGTTTCGATTCAAAGGTGTTTAGGAAGAAAAGTTGATTGGCTTTCCTTCCTTCAATATGATCGCCGATTGTATCAAATTTTTCGAATACGCTGAATATTGATTTGGTAATTCCTGCACATTGCATCCATATGGAATTTCACAGTGTCTGTGTGTGTGTATTGGGGTTAGAGAGAACGCGTGGGACATGTGCAAGCATTGGATATGACGCATTATCAGTATGTGAGTCCATGAATTTTTTTCCGCACAGAGTGAGTGGGCTAGATTCCTTTTCTGAATGTGGTACAACATTACATAACCCACGCGCTGTTGACAAAGTAGGTGCCATGTGCTAAAAAGCATTCCTCGTAGTTTTGGGTGAACATTGTGACTACATGTTTTATTGTTTTTAAACAAGACTTCCTAGAAACCCTTCCAGATTCAACCTGCGACCATGCATCTAGTGTGCCAAGTTGTAGTACTTGACATTGATATCCTTGATTTTTTAGCCGGCACAAAATTCAAACAAATTGAACACAAGGAGAACGCAAAAACGATGGGGTCCTTGCAAGTTATGGCATTCAAGCTCATCAACCTTTGGTGTGAAAGGCTTGACTGTGTATTCGAGCATGTCTGGCTTAACAGTTCTTGACGTAGCACCTCTGCCCAAGCTTCACCTATGAAATATCACCTTGTCATGGGTCAGCATGCGGTGCCTATACAAAAAATACGGTTATTACCGGAGTAGATTTTCATAATTAGAGCTGGGCTTGGGGAAGAATATCTGAGTAGAACAGCGCAATACTCATTTTGAAGCAAAATCCCAACCATATTCAATAGCACGCCCGTTTGGTGACCTTAGTCTTGGTACTTTCTCTTGGGAAAAATAACATGTATATAAACCTAATTAAACCTACCTCTTCGTTGATTGGTGTTCCCAACCGGTCACCCGTTTTGCACATTTTGCTGACAAGAAACCTTCTTTAGGGCACATGAAGATGGTGACTGAGCTTATTTGCCAGTGATTCACAGGCTGGCAATGATTGCTTGCAGTTGGCCCGAAAAGGTTAACAGCCCGGAACTATAATAGAAACCTATCTTGCGTGTCTTCCTTTCTCATTGCAGACATCCTGTTTAAAAAATTAGCTGTTGTTTACCATACAGGGTGCCAAAATGTGCCAAACATCGATTCATGTAGACGATTCACATCAGCGGTGTTCAAGACCCATCTGGTTGCAGTATGCTGGTTGGTTGATAGGGGCGCCCTGATAGTCCCCAATACACTGGCTGGTAAAGCCGCCCGCAATCTTCAAACAACAGAGGGTTTTGAACATCGCTGATTTGACATTGATTGCAGCATCTAGATTGATGCGCACGTTTCAAACATGGCTAGGATGCACGCTGGACTCATGGTATTTCACAACGTGCGTGTTTGCAAAGGGGAGGTGAAGATAAAGGAGATACAGGACCTGTGATTGACACGTGCAAAAACTGGAATTGATATACATGTGGATCATGTTTTCAAGTCCATGCATTTTATGTACAAAATGGTGATCGAAAAAAACAAATATCATGTAGGATTAGAGCGGGACAGACAGATTCAGGTTGCTGTAGCTGCTCGTTGTCAATACGCAAGCCTACGTACTATGTCTTCGCAAATTCGATGAAGACAAGGTGTCAATGGGCAAGAATCTGTTCCAAACTAAATGCGTTTAGAAGGGATCCAACGTGTCACAATCATCATTCAGCTGGCGCATAGATCCAGCAGACCCAAAGGCAGTTTAACAGTAAGCACAAAGAAGTTTTTGTACACCTTTGAATTCAATTTCACCAACCTTTGGCGTTAAAGGCTGCTCCGTGTACTCAATCATATCTGACTTGAGAGTATCTGACTTGCAGGCACTGTACGTGGGCATGCTTTAGTAAAAAGAAACGTCGCCTGCATTTCAATGATGCAGCACCATATGCAAAGTGTGCAAAAACCAGTGGTAAAGTGCAAAGCATGCAAGCCAAAAGCTGAACACACAAGAATCATCGAAGATACCCAAAACAATCAAATAGTCATAGCATCACAGCAAGAAACATTGCAAAACACACGTGAATAGATAGAGTCACACTGTCTAATGTTTGGGCCACGCCAGGACTAGAGGAGGCAACGCTGAACAATATGCAAGTGTCATCTGAAAACACGCAGGCGCACCCAAAGTTTGGGAATGGACATGACGGTGAATTTGCTGGGCTTTCTGGTTCGGGGTAAGAAGGACCGGCTTTCCAAATTTGCAATGTAAATATTTTTCTGCGGGGCAAAGTTTTCAAGACCGCAACTCTTCTGCTTTGTCTTATAGTGAGGGCACGCAATCATCGTCTTCCTAACTAAGTTGTCGCGACTTTGTCAACACAGCGTCACCGCATTGTCGCCACATTGCCACCACATCGCCAACACATCGCCGCCACATTGCCACCACATCGCCATCACATCGCCGACACATCGCCGCCACATTGCCACCACATCGCCATCACATCGCCGACACATCGCCGCCACATCGCCGCCACATCGCCGCCACATCGCCGCCACCTCGCCGCCACATCGCCGCCACATCGCCGCCGCATTGCCGCCACATTGCCGCCACATTGCCGCCACATCGCCGCCACATCGCCGCCACATCGCCGCCGCATTGCCGCCACATTGCCGCCACATCGCCGCCACATTGCCGCCACATTGCCGCCACATTGCCGCCACATTGCCGCCACCTCGCCGCCACAGCTGCCACAGGACCTAATTTCTGCCAATAAGGTCCTGTTTGGCCAAAACAAGACCTTATTGGCAGAAATAAGGTCCTGTGGCAGCTGTGGCAGCAACGTGGCGGCAACGTGGCAGCAACGTGGCGG